CTGGCAGTTTAGCTAGTGTGTCCTTCGCTATAGGACCTGGTCGCTTAGTTCTCTGATTTCAAGCCCTGGTTCGAATTCAGCCCTCCTGTAACACCGTCAAAGATCACTGTTACATCCAGATTCAGGACTTCCCAAATAGGTTTTTGTTTATACTGGTTCCTCGGATTTATTGCACCAAAGCTCCTATTACAAGATGGTGTAACTGAAGTTATAGATTTAGTTCTAGATCCAACCAATAAGCATAGCTGTCAACCAAACACAGGCCTATTTTTCAAATATCATCGCCAGTGAGATTTGAACTCTAGCCTGCCACTTGGAGAGAGTGACAACTAGACTACTACACTAAGTCGCCACACCTCAAAAGTATATTATTTAATAAAGGTGAGTTTTGTAAAATATTATGTAAAACAAGATGTTTAGTGTAGTGAAATATTTCAAGATCTACAGTTGAGTATTGGAGATGTATATAATTGCATGTGTAATATAGTATATGAAAGACATATTTAAGCTAAAAAATTTATTCACTCAATTGAATATGCAGAGTTGATATGTAAAAGACTAATTCATATAGAAATTTAATGATTTTTATTTTCACAAGCCAACAAGTTGATTAATGTGTGTAAAATAACATTATGAAATGGTAAAAAGTATTTATATTCTAGATTTGCTAATCTAAAATTTTTTTTAAAATTTTGCTATTAGGTTAAGGTTTGAAAATCATAATAATGCCAAAATTTCATAAAGAAACTTTGTCAATATACAAAGATAAAATTGAGTTATGAGCTTTTTTTTTAATGCTTTTGTGACTTTGATTTGCTAATTTTTTAACCCACTTATTATAGTATTAATAAATAATCTTTATTCTCAGCCAAAATGGTTTAAAAAATATTGTATAATGGTAAATAAGTATTTATATTCTTTATTTGTTAACTTGACTTGATTTTTTACTAATTAATAATTTTATTTTTTACAAGTCAAATGAATTAATTTACTATTATTATAAAAAATGAAAACTAATAAAATATTATATAGTTAGAAATATACTGTAAAATTAAGGGTTAGGGTTCTGTAGCCTAGTGGTCTAGGTGCCTAATCCTTTACAGACGAGGTCGACAGTTCAATTACAGCTAGTAGTAATTAATTTAATAAATTATCTCTATAAGCTTTGGAGGCTTTTGAATATGAAACCCTGTAGTAGTAAGACCATGTGAAGTATATATTTGGCCAATAAAGAATTCTTGGAAGAAGTTCCGAGCTATGGAAAAGATTGGGTACTGCATGTAACATGGATCACAGAAAGTAATACTGCAAAAGGCTGTGCATGTGAATCCATGATTAGCAAAGTAGCACCAACAACCCTAAGGCAGCATTGGGATCTTGATTGGGAAAACAGCTATATGCAATATATCCAGAAGTGGTGAGAGAAGCAGTGAACATAGTAAGGGGCTGTAGTAAGAGAATGGCTTTACCAAATATAGAATACCTTTGGCACAAGGAAACAAAAAAAACCAGCTAAAAGAAATCCCAAAAAGCATGGAAGCAAGTACTCTGGTAGTATGAAAATAAAGTTAGCTAGTAAGTAATATGTCGCACAACCTATATGGGAGTCGTAGAAGCATGACGAAATATGACAGAAGCATGAGTCCTGGGTTACTGGCTTGTGACAGTAATTAAATGAGGTACTTAACTCCCATCCTAAGGATCTAGACTTCTGTAATACTATACTGATAGGGAGTATTATAAAAAGAAGCGGTAGTCTAATTTGGTAGTATATGACGTGAATACCTAGAACTATATGAACAGCTCTCCTAATGGCAGCAGCAGGTGGCTTAAGATACAGGTCTTCAGACGGCAGCAGCACCTGGCTTGAGATACGGATTAGGAACTGAAGTAACATCTCGAGGGACACCAAACTGGAAGCAAAAAGAGCACCCACTCCTAGAACACCAATTTAGAAGTTATACAAGAAACGAATTAGAAGTAATGTGATAAGTGATAAGGGGTAAATTATAACTAGTAGACATTGTACAGTAGTATATATAGTGGAGTATATATGAATTAGTAAAAATATTAAGGTTCTGAGTTAAATTAGAACTTAGAGTGCTTCTTGATAGAGGTACCCAAGGATGTTCATCTCACATGTGAAATGGTGCAGACAGTTGCATCTGGGTACTATAGGGTAACCGGATGAGGTTATAATGATTACTTAGATAGGTTAAAATATATGTAATACATATGGGCCGATTTGCGTCATTACTATTAAAAATGGTAAAATATTTGACAGTGAATAACTTTTTATTCGCTGATCCGTTTGGGATGATTTGACTACCAAAATGATCGTCTCGAAGAGATAATTCTAACGAGTCTAAAATTGTTGAAATCCAATTATGAGATCTAGAGATAATTAAAAAGTTCTTTGCTTCGAGTAATATAAGATGGGTTTAACTCATTCTATTTTACCCGAAGCAAACAAACTGTTAATTATCTCTGGATCTCATGATTGGATTTCACTAATTTTAGACTTGTTAGAATTGTTTCTTCGAGACAATCATTTTGGTAGTAAAATCATCCCAAACTGACAAGCAAATAAAAAGTTATTCACTGTCAAATATTTTACCATTTTTAATAGTAATGATGCAAATCGGCCTATATGATATGTAATGTTTGGTTAAAATAAGTAATAAAGTTAATAACAAAATTGTTGAAGTTTAAAAAAAATATATATATATACTGTGAAATTGGTTTTGAGAATCTGTTATTCTTGAAATGTTATAGAATATCAAGAGACAAAAATTTAAAAGATTATATAATAACCTTAGTTTATACAAGAGAAGAACCTTTGTAACAAAATATTTAAAAAGTAGTACAAATAAACCAGAGCTAAATTTATTACACTATGTCACTTCTAATCTGGAATTGATTCACTTTTATGAATTAGTTTATTGTGATCTTTATAGTGATAATATTTTGTAATATAATTTATATAGTACATATATACAGATCTTGGATTATTGTCTGAAAAAAAAAGATAGTGAATAAATAATTAAAATAGTAAATAAGTATTTATATTTTTTAATGTGTGATCTTGATCTGCTGATTTTAACTCTACTTATCTTTATGCTCTCAGGCTGAATGAAGAAGGTTAATGTGAATGAAGTGATTTAAAAGATATTATATAATAATAGATAAGTATTTTATGCTTTTCATTTGTAAATTTGGTTTGATAATTTTCCACTGGGCATTGTGCAATTTTTATTTTTTTTTTTATAATTCAGTAGTCATGCCTTAGCTTTATTAGGCTTTGTACAATTCCTCTAGAATATGTAAAATTTTACAACTAGGCATTTTAGAAGGTAAGTGATAAACTCTAAACTTGTTGGCAGATAGCATATGAGAACTATCTCTAAACAACAAGTGCCATAGCCCACATTGTTATCTAAATTACAAGTTAAGACTAACCTGGTTACCAACTTGGCATCTATGTTCGACCTGCTATAGCAAGATTTTCCTCCTTTTGGACTCCTCCTGCAATTGGATATGACCCGGCTCTCAACAGTGGACCTTGCCGCCCGTCATGACCACCTCTCTCTTCTTTCAGACTTCTTTCACCTAAGCCCAACAACAACAATTAAAACCCTTATTCATACATAAAAGTAAAAAAATGAAGCCATGTTTATGAAAGACATAAACATTTTAGAAAAAAAAAAAACACCTCATGGTGGAAAAAAAAACTTTTCAACAAATTCTAAAATAATTTAACATAAATGAAAAAAGATGAAAAAAGCAAAAAAAAAGAAAGGTAGCCATACACTATTATAGCCCGTGCTAGGTATAAGGATAAAAATTATATAATAATTGCAACTAATTACTATATCTTGATTGTAAACCGACAGTTTAGCTTTGGGACTTGTTCCGGGCACTGACTCGACTCGGGTATCTCCTAAATAGGGGTAACAATCTTTTCTCCATACCATAGCACTGTATTCACAAAACAACAAAACACGTGGTTGCCTTCTACTGAGTTTATCCTGATTTGGTAGGTGTAAACAATACCGATCTTTTGAAGGAGATAAGCCAAAATGCCTACTTTTTGTCAAAAAATTTTGGTAGGACCAGCACAAAACGACGCAGAGAGAAAGATCTCTTGATACTACTTAAAGGAAAGTAAGTTACTAAAAACAACAGAAATAGTCTTCCTTTCAGCCAGAACTGCGCTACTCATATTTTGTCGGTGAGTGATAAACTCTGAACTTGTCAGCAGATAGTGTATGAGAACTATCTCTAAACGACAAGTGTCGGGTTTGTAGTGAGTGATAAACTCTAAGCCTGTCAGCAGGTAGCATATGAGAACTACCTTTAAACGACAGATACTGACTTACTGTCCCTCTTTTCATGTCTTATGTAGTTTGGCTAGTCAGTTTTTACTGTTTTTGTTGAAAAGTTTTTTTGGCAAAATTTGGTTCAAGTGATCGTCGGAAAGAGTTGTATATGCCAATCACAGATTTACACGCACAACCTTTGTGTAATAAAATTTTCTGTAACAACTACTGTTACACATAGTGCCAACTACTCCACAATGAACCTTCTTCTGAAAATTTCTAATTCAGACTTGTATTCACTTAGACTTCTCACAGCAGATACTTCCAAATATTTGTAGATAAACATACCTATAGAGTTGTTAATAGCTCATTTGAAGCCGGCTTCAGCTGCATAATAGAGCCAAGCTGGCCCAAGCCAAGAAGCTGCATTTTAAAGTCATATCTTAATTTGTGGCTTGAGATATAACTTAGAGCTCAGCTTAGTTGTGGCTTAGCTCAAGCTGTAGCTTCATTAACGTGCAGATCAAATTTTACATGATTATACATTTAATCAAACATTAATATTGTAATAACTAAAACTGCTAACTGTTAATACTGTAATCAGCTATCTACCTTTATTATATAGAACTTTATACTAATAGTTTACAGTTTTTTAATCTATATTTTTACATTTTGTTCCATCTAACTTTTTAGACAAAGTAATGCCTGGGCAGTTTTAGGAAGAAGACAGCTACAAACTTTTGTAATTATTCCTGCTGCTACAGAAAAAGCCTCTTCACAAGGAACACTTGTTCCTTGAATAGCAAGATAGTTACATGTCATTGTTGCTAAAGTTGGAAATCTATACTCATTTTGTTCCCACCAACTAAGAAAATTATTTTTACATATAGGCAAAGCTAAGTATAAATCTAATTCTTTTTCTGGTAGTGGTTGTTCAGTTTCTTGCTTCTCAGAAAAAAATGACTCAAAATATGCTTTTTTATTTTTAGAAGTAGTCAAGTTAGTATTTATCTCTGAAGCTGATGATTTATAATGAACCATTTCTTAATGTAAATTAGTAATAGCTGCAGTTCTTTTTTCTCCAGGTAAAAATGTTTTAAGTTTTGATGATTAATCAAGAATTGCAGCTATTGTAATTTTCTCATCAAGAAGAGACCAATATTCATTTAATTTGTAACGTATAGAATCTGCAACCAGATACTCTTCTTCTTCTTCCAATTGTGATCTATCAATAAATTGATCAAAATGTCGAATAAGCCCACCAATAGTTAAGCAAACATCTGAAATTGTTGGGTATGAAATACTTGAGAGATATTCTGTTGCTTCAAGAACTGGATGAAGAAGATCAATCATAGTATTAATTCTTTCCCACTCAGAATCATTAAGATAAGTAAAATTGAATTGATTTTTGTGTACTGTTACAAGAAGATCAGTTTCTAAATGTAGAAGTTTAAATCTATGAAGCATTTCATAGGTGTTGTTCCAACGAGTAATAACATCAACTTTTAGTGTATAAAATGTTTTGCTATTTAAATATAAAAATTTTAAATGTTATTAAATATAGTAATCAAATAATTAATATAAAACTTTAAATTTAATTACTTATTTAAGGCACAAAAACATCACACAAAATTGTTGAATGTTGAATTGCATTTATAAAATTTCAAACTTTTTCAATTATTAAAGTTTCTAGCTGCATACCATGCTGAACAGCAATATTCAAAATATGTGCAGCACACCTATAATAATTAAATCCAATTTCTCTCCATTCTCCTTCTAATATATTTTCATATAAAATCATTGCTGCATGATTGTCCGTGGTTAATGCAATAACTTTATTACTAATATTCATATTTCTACAAAGTTCAATTAGCTTTTCTCTTATATATACTGCAGTATGATTAGATTCAAAATGAATTAAATCTAGTAAAAATCATTTCATTTTCTATTTAATATCAATGAAGTGTATTGTAATACCAAGATAGGATTGATTTGCTACTGAGGTCCAAATATCTGCTATAAGTGCTACTTTTGTATTTAAATTTTTAAGTTCTTCAGCAACAAGTGATTTTCAAATCTCAAATCGTAACATTATTTTATTTTTTACATGTTGATGATTTGGTGAGATATATCTAATCAAGTTATTAGAAATATATTAAAAATTAAAAAAAGATTATTTAGTAAAACTTAAACATGCTAGTATTTCTAATACCTTGGATCAAGTGTATTTGTCATCTTACGAAACCATCAACTCTTAGCAGTATTAAATGAAATTTGATCACCAACAAAAAAATCAAATATAGAATTTTCACATTCTTCAATACATCTGATATTATCTTTACTATAAGGACTTTGATTCGAAGATAAGTATCTTTTTGATTTTAAAATAATACCATGATTATGTTTATTATTTAAATGTTTAGCTAAAACTCCCATTGATGTATTAATACTATATTCTTGTAAACATTCATCACACACTACTATAGAGTCACCATTCCTATCTTTTTCCTCATATATAAACTTCTATACAATGGACTTTCTATTGCTCTTTATATCTTCTTTAGATATTAGAGATGTTGAGGCATTAACACTGTTATGATCAAAGCCTTCTTCAGAAGAATCAACATTTTCGGAATCCATATATGATACTTTTAATATTGTATTTTTAATATTTTACATTCACTATATTTATATATTTTATATTCGCTATATTTATATATTTTAGCTTATCAATCAATAAATTTTCAATTCGCTTAATATCAATATTTTTGACTTATAATAATTTTTAACTCAATAATAATTTTAACTCAATCAATATTTTTAGCTCGAATGATATTTTTAACTTGATTAATAATTTTTTTATATACAAAATAAAATTTTATTATTATAAACTAAGTTTTGAAAGTACAATGTAAAATTTTGTTTAGATGAATAAAAATTATTTTTTTACTTTAGCGAAACTAGTATTTATACTCAATATATAAATAAACCTATTACAAATACAATAAATTATTTATAAAAGAATAATATTAAGCAAAAAGTTTACTAAAGAGCTCATATATATATAATTTGATTCTATATACTAATTAATAACTACTGGAGCCATGGTTTGAGCCATAGCTTGAGCCATAGCTTGAGCCATAGCTTAAGCCATAGCTTAAACTATAGCTTAAGCCATGACTTCAATAACCATGGCTCAAGCCAGAACTATGGCTTTTAAAAGCCAAGCCAAGCCGCTTAAGCCATTAACAACTCTACATATCTACTAGGACTTGAACCTGAAACCCGCTTGTGGAAGGTTGGGTGTTTAGACCACTAGGCCACGAGATCTCAACCCCAGACAATAAATATATTTAAAATAAGTTATTTCTTTATATTTATATTAAATTATTATAAGATTATAAATTATTTGTCTTTTCAGAGGTGTGACAACTTAGTGTAATAGTTTAGTTACCACCTTCTCCAAGTGGCAAGTCTAGAGTTCGAATCCCACTAGCAACTATTTTAAAAAAATAGGCCTGTATATAGTTGATGGCTTTCTATTTGTTGAATCTAAATTAATCTGTAACCTTGGTTACACTATCTAGTAATAGAAGCTTTAGCACAATAAATCTAGAAAACTAGAATAACTGAAAACCTATTTAGCAAGTTTTGAGTTTGAAGATAGCAGTAATCTACTATGGTATTACAGGAGAGCTAAATTCGAACCAGGGCACAAAATTAGAGAACTAAGTGACCAGATTCTAATAGTGAAAGACATACTAGCCAAATTGCCAAGTTGTTACACTGGAGAAAAAAACATATGAGGCAGCATCAACTAAAACACAGCTTATGGTATTTTTTCTATTTTAAGAAAATCACGTTTAAAATTTGTATAATAATAATAATAATGATTTATTATTAGTATAACCTGTTAGATTGACATTTGCTAGCCAATTATATGAACTCTTTTTTATAACTCTGCAGCAAGGATTAACAACTAGATATCCAAATTCTAATTTTAAATCATGTTTAAACATATTAGCATTTTAAAAAAAAAGCATCAACAAAAATTTTATTATGTAAATCAAATGCTTTAAATATAAAATTATATAAAAAAATTTCTGCTTTATATGATGATATAGTTAACTTATTTTTACAAAAAATGCTATCCCTTAATTGGTAGAGATTTGCAAACAAATTTGCCTACATAATTACTATAAATATGTCTTTAATTTACTTTTTTAATTATTTAATTGGTGATCCACCAGTCAACCAGAGAATGATCATAGTAAAATGTGACTTAAATTATTTATAAAAATTGGGAGTCTCCAAATGTGGTATGCATGTATCTAAAACTTTTTTTATACTAAGTTAATCATTTTTCTAACTTAAGAGACTTTTGTAGAGCTTGTTAAGATGCATCTAATGGTGATTAGAGTGTCAAAATCGGCTTGGTGGGTGCCAAGATATCTTTAAAAAACCTTTCTTTTACTATGTAAACTTTTTTGCAAACAATAGTAATATTTGCAAAG